CCATATCTTTCATTTCAAACTCCGTCTTTAAATGATGATGTGCTTCATTAATATCGGGTTCGTTGCTAATGATATTAAGATCATCAACGTACACCGATATGATACAAAATCCTGTTGATGATTTTTTAATGAAGACACACGGGTAGTCATCATTATTTGTGTATCCCTTCAACTTAAGGAATTCACTTAACCGATTATACCACATTCGGCCCGACTGCTTTAAGCCATATAATGACTTCTGCAACTTGACGCAATACATGTTGCGATTTGCCTTGGGATTTGGTATACTGATTCCATCAGGAATTTTTATGTATATATTAGAATCCAATGACCCATACAAATATGCGGTCACTACGTCCATCAACTTCATAGATAGACGATTTTGTACTACCAGTGATATTAAGTATCAGAATGTTATTCCGCTCATCACCGGAGAGTAAGTTTCATTGAAATCAACGCCAGGTCTTTGCGTAAAACCTTGTGCCACAAGCCTTACTTTATATCTCACCACTTTGTTGTTTTCGTTCCTTTTATGGACGAAAACCCATTTGTATCTCACATGGAAGATACCAGGGGGTGTTGGCATTACAACTGAAAACACTTCCCTTTTATAAAGCGAGGCAATCTCTGTTTCAATTGCTACCTTCCACTTATCCCAGTCCGAGCGCTTCTTGCACTCATTCATAGACTTCGGATCTGAATTAGTTTGAAGGATATTTACAATTTGTTCAGAGAAATAAATGTTGACTATTATGGACTTACGACTATAAGACTCTAGTTTCTATGAAATTTATAGCGATTTCGTCTACCCTTAAAGATTCATCATGACTTCCTGAAACGATGGATCTAGGGTCTTCCGATGTTCCAGCCTCAGTGTTATGCGCATAACTGAGCTAGATTGTGGATCACTTCTATCCACAGAACATTATATGTCCTCTAGGTGTCTTTCAACCAAAGGTTGAGTTACATTTCCAGTCTTCTTTTGCTTGCCAGCAACCACATCTTGCCTCTTGGAGGTGCTTCTCCCCCTCTTATAGCCAATTTGGGGGTGAATGGTTTTATTAGGTACCTCCACTCTTTCGGGCACATTCCTTGCAGGATGGAGAGACTTTGTAACACCTTTATAATTAGAGAAAGCGTCTGGCAGATTGTTTGCAATATTTTACAAATCAATAATTCTTTGAACTTGTAGTTTAGTTTCTATAGTATGTGGATCATAAAATGAAATGCCTTCTGCATTCCAATCAATTTCCTGGCATTCCTTTTGGTACAATTCTCCCCCTAATACCGGGAAATGATCCACATTAAAAATACAATCAACGAACCGGGCTGTAAATAGATCCTCTGTTACAGGTTCTAAGTACTTAATGATCGACGAAGATGAATATCCCACATAGATCCCTAATTTCCTGTGAGGACCCATAGATGTCCGCTGAGGTGGTAAGATGGGTACGTATACTGCGCACCCAAACTTACGCAAATGAGAAATACTCGGAGGATTCACATGTATTAACTGCAAAGGGGATGATTCGTGATATGCAGTTGGTCATAGTTGGATCAGGTCAGCAGCGTGCAGAACTGCATGACCCCAACACGACATAGGCAATTTGCAATTCATCAACAAAGGTCTTGCAATGAGCTTGATTCTTTTAATCAACGATTCAGTCAACCATTTTGAGTATGTACATATGGAACGGAATGTTGAACCTGAATTCCCAATGCCATGCAATAATCATTAAAAGAACGGGATGAGAACTCAGCAGCATTATCCATTCAGATAGATTAAATCCAATGTTTAGGATAATGTGCCTTTAACTTAATGAGTTGAGCCATTATTTTAGCAAAAGCATGGTTTCATGTCGATAAAAGAGACACGTGAGACCATCTAGTAGATGCGTCTATCAATACCATGAAGTACCTGAATGGCCCCGACAATGGTTGGATCGGACCACAAATATCTCCTTGAATTATTTCAAGGAATTTGAGTGGTTCAGCTCGAATTTTAAGATATAATGGTCTTAAAATTAATTTTCCAGTTGCACAAGCAGTGCAACAAAAAATTTTATTTTGGAGAAATTTTGTATTTTTTATATCATGACCAATGGAATTGCCGATAATTTTCTTCATCATCCCTATTCCAGGGTGCCCAAGTCGATCATGCCAATTTTGGAATGTATCAACATTTTGGAAAATTATCTTATAAGCAACATGTTCTATGGCTTTATATATGTAAAGTACAGTCCAATTTAGAGTGAAGAAATCTTTTCACAGATTTGTTTGCCATATCCAGTAAGTTTGGTAAAAGAGAAGAAATTTCTCTTTATTATCCATATGTGTTTCCACATGGAAACCATTCTTACGGATGTCTCTAAAACTTAGAAGGGTATAAGTCGAGTCAGATACACCAAGGCATCCTCCATCATAATTTGTGTACCCATAGGAAGGGTAATAGTGGCTCTTCCTGAACCAACTATTAATGCATCGCGACCAGCGATGGTCATAATATTTCCTTCTCTTTTCTTAAGAGTCTGGAAATATTTCATCTCTCTAAGTATAGAGTTTGTGGTACATAAGTCCACAAGGCATAATTCTTCCTCCTTTGGATTGAGATCAACAGACATCTATATGTAAAACAAATGAAATTAAAATACTCAAATGTAATATATAGAGTTATACATATAATATATTGAATATCTAATACAAGAGTACGATATTACAATATCAATGAGTTGGTACAACTTAACAACAATATAAAGAAGTTTGTACAACTCTCAAGCACACTAAATAATACAACCCAAAAACAACTATATGTTTGTATGACTGAAACTATTACAACATTTATCAAGTGAGGTATCAAATGTTGGTCTGAGATTACTCCAAATCTCCAAACATGTCTCCAGAACCAAAGTCTAGGAGCATGTTGTCCGTCGATGGAAGGTTCTCTTCAATGTTAAGAGAATTGTTGTTCACTTGTTCTTTTGGGGCCTGATTGGAACAACCCTCTTTTGGGACAACCTTAGATGCAAGATGAAAGTGTGCCTCATATCTTGTGTCTCCTACTGGCTTGACCTCCTTTAAGGACTTTTGGTACAAAGCAACCAGATGCTTAGGTGCACGACAATTCTTGGCAAAATGCAAAAAATCTCCACATCTATGACACTTATTGTCATTTTTGGATTTCGCATTGTCCTTCTTGAATTAGGTCTTTGTCTCCCGTTGTGTTTGCGTTTGCCAGTTTTGTTCTTTAGAAAAGATCCATTGAACTTATTCCTAGTATTTTTCTATACGTTGTGAACCTCGGGCAGAGGCGCCAAACCAATAAGGCGCTTATGATGATTCTTCAGAAGAAGTTCATCATGTTTTTCTGCCTAAGTCAATGTATGAATAAGCTAGGAATAAAGCTGGTAATTATGAGCCCTGTATTGCTGTTGTAATACTGTATCAGACGGAAGCATAGTAGAGAGTGTTTTCTCTATCTTGTCTGCATCCGTTGGCTCTTTCTCACAAAACTTCAACTTAGAACAAATCCTATGAACAACGTGATTATAGTCTGCCACATATTTGAAATCTTGGAGACATAAATGATTCCATTCATGATTGACCTTAGGCCAAATAAGTTCTTTTTGCTGTTCATATCGCTCCTTAAGAGCGACCCATAATTCACAAGGATTTTCAATCATATGGTATTCAGATTTAAGGTCCTTATGAATATAAAACCGTAGCAAAGCCTAAGCAGTATATGTATGCTTATCTTGCAAGACAACCGTAGCTTAGGGTTCCTAAATTGTAGCCAAAAGATTACGAGATGCAAGCGCTATCTTGACATCAGAAGCCCATGTAAGGTAATTGCTGCCATTTAGCGCGAGTTCCTCGAACTCCTTAGTGGCCATGATCCTACGTGGACAACCATGGATTAATTAATTTACCTTATGGTTAATTAAAATCAACATGGTAATGTTGTAATACTAGGTGCAATATTTTAAAGTTTATATCTTATCATAGTTTTGGGTTGTTGTAGGTAATCACAAAAATTGTGTAAACCATACAACAAATCATCATAAATTTTAATATACACAAGATAGATAGTCGCTAAGTCAAAGACAAAGAGTAGATCTTTATGGTAGGCAAATATATTGCTGCCTAAGCATGGTCTCTAGGCAGAATAATTCACAAGTGAATAAAACTTAGTCATTGCTTAGGTCTCTACCATCTTGTGTAATAGCAAAATAATATGATGAAAATGGTAATCATCGCGTGGATGTAGACCATTTATAACAATCCAAAACCATTATTTTGGGTAAAAACACAGTGTAGGTAATCACCAAGTCTCAGAGGAATATGATGTAGACCTCTCAGTAACGGATGATTTAATCACTGCTATAGCACAGTCTCTAGGTAGGATAATTCACAAGGAATTAAACGCAGCCAATGCCATAGACTCCATTACCTTGCGATTAATTAACCAAAATATCCAAGATATTTATATTGCAATTTTAAACCTACAGTAATTAAAGTTTTCTAATTCTGTGGATAAGTTTGTTAAATTGCATCTAAGTCACTAGCAAATTTAACATGTATGTGGTGCAAAAGGGGTTTGGGAGCACCAACATACCCAACTCTATTATAAAAATACAAATGCAACATATATGTTGGTGCAAAACAGGGGATTTGGGTGCACCAACATATTCCAATTTAATAATCAAAGTCACAAGTGTAATATGTATGTGGTGCAAAATTGGGTTTGAGTGCACCAACATACTCCAAAATATAATAGAATCACATATTGTATTGTAATATAATAAGATCAAACCACATTTATATACAATGAAAATGTACAGCAGGTACAGAGCAACATCAAACAATACAGGTAAGCTGATGTTCTTGCAGAAAGATAAATTAGCTAAATCATATGCTAATTAATTGTTCTACCGCTGAAAAATGAAAATAACTAAAAAATAAAATTTCTAGGCATCAAACGGGGCAAATTTGGCCCAAGTGAGTCAGCAGCCCAGCGGCCAGGCTAGGCGCGCAGCCCAGCCGGCCAAGGGCGTAGGCCAGCCAGGCGCCCGGCCAGCCAGGCGCCCGGGGCGGCACGCGCGCGTGCGGGGCCACAACCTGGGCCTGGGCCGCCGAATCGGCCCAGCCAGGCGCACCCTCCGCCGCGGACTTATAAGAGGCCGGCGATTAGGGTTTGGAAACCCTAACCGCCCCAGCCCCAAACTGCCGCCGCCGCCGCCTCCTTGCCGGTCACCACCGCTGCCGCTGCCTGCTGCTTCTTGCCACCTTATGAGTGGAGCCGCTGTCTTGTGCCTCCTATTCCTCCTCTCCTGGCGGGCGCGAGCCGAGGCCCGTGCTCCGGCCATGGAGACTGGCCGGCAGGGCGGACCCGGCTCATCCCCGGCGAGCTCTGGCCACAAGGGCCGTCGCTGCAAGCCGGGAACGGCGGATCCGAGGGCGTTTTCGAGCGGGAGGGCGTTCTGGCGCAGGCCTTGGCGGTGGTTGGCCGTCACGTCGGCGTAGGAGCGCGGCCCGGACGGTGGAGGTGGCGGTGGAAGCGCGACGTCGAGGTCGTAGGCGAAGCCGGGCGGCCAAGCCTCTGTACCGGCACTGTGGTTGGGGAGCGGAGGAGCGCCATGGCGCACGGCCATGGAGCCGGCGCCTCCCTTCCATGGCAGTGCGAGCGCGGTTGACGACAGCGGTGGTGGTGGCGGCAACAGCGTCATCGGCGGCCTTGGCAACGTCTCCGGCGGAACCCCCATGCGCCTGACGAACATGGCCGGGCCATGTGTCGGGCAGACGCCGGGGGAGTGCTGCAGCATCGACTCCGGGCGCGGCGACAAATAGTGGCCACTGCTCCCTCCAGTGCGAACACCGTGGAAGAGACGAGGTGGGATGTGGCGGTCAGAGATGTCCCGGAGGACACGGCGGATGGCACCCTGGAGCATGAAGCGGCGAAGGCCCCCGGCTTGGTGACCACGGTGGGTGGCGGACTCCACCACATCGGTGATGGAGCGACCATGGTATTCATGGAAGGTATGGCGTTTGCCATCTTCTATCTCGGGTTGAGATGCAGCGATGCCGTCGTAGTCCCGATGAACTCCCTCTCCTTCCTTGTCCTATTCGCGTCAGCGATCTGAGCGTGCGTACGTGATAACGTGTTGCAAGTGAAATGGCGAAAGTGAAAGCGATCGATGAAAAGTGATCGATGTCTCAATTGATGAACGGTGTCTGTACATATATACAAGCCCAAAGGGCGGTTGTCTATGGGTGAAAAAATGTCTTTCTATGCCTATCCTGAAACTATCATTAGATTAACCTAGATTGATCGCTAAATAATAATCTTAACAAAGCTTACGTTGCCTTTTTACCTCCCACGGAGACACCGACCGCGCCAAAGCGAACTCGAACATCCCAATCCACACCCCCTGAACTCCAGAAGACTGAAGTTGAAGCTAGGGGGTCAAGGAAGGAGGTCGAGGATGGAGGCCGCGGGACAGAGATATGTGCCTGGTGGTGGTCTGCGACGAGCCGGAGCGCGTGGTGGCCACGTACCAGGCGCCCGGACGGTGCCCCTACTGCGGCGGCGGCGTGGTGGCGGCGGACGTGGAGAGCGCGCCGCGGCTCTGCTTCGTCCCGCTCTGCTTCCGCATCCGACGCCGCTTCTACTGCTCCCTCTGCTCACGCCGCCTCGTCTCCGTCGCCTGAACGGTCGCCGGAACAGGGAAGGCACGCGTACGCGACGGAGCTCTGGCTGCTCGGCGCGTGTCATGCGCTCTGTATCTATGTATGCGTATGGAGTAATTTAGCAAGGTACTCCGCGTGTGCTAAAACCATTTGTATGACATACTCCAAGTAATTAAGCAGCTTTATTACGAATTACTTATCCCGGTAAATTGTAACGTGCCTTATTTGTGTCGTGCCGGATGAAATGAGCGCGAATTTTTCGATGGACACGCAAGAAGCGGAGCGTGCGATGTACTGAATGCAGGGACTGACTGAATTTGATTCAATCTCTTTTGCCCAGATTGGAGCAGAATTGGTCACATTCAGGTTGAATTCTCCTTTTTTAAATACCAGCATCGCGAAAATGAATGACAAGCTGGTAATCCCTCTGAACAGAAATGGCCAACGAATTGACGAAGATTGAAGCATCGAAATAGGGAGGAAAGTGTTGACCTTTTTTTATTGCGGCGTGAGTACATACAAGATGGGGAAAAGGAAAAAGAAAAAAGAAACAAAGAGCTAGTGAGCTGACTGCGCAAGCTCAAGGGCTACTCGAGGAGGCGAGTCCACCCGGTCGACGGAGCGCGCGAAGGCCAGGATGTCCGAGGAGCCCGTCGCGGCCGCCTGCTTCTCGCCGTCCGGCTGGGAGACGATGGCCTCGCGGAGGAGCCTCGCCGCCGTCGGGTTCAACGAAGAAGGCGGCTGCTGCTCCTGCTGCCGGTTCTTGTCTGGACCGGCCTGTAGGGCGTGGGCGCTCGCCGGCGCGTCGCCGCCGTGGCCGCGGTTGGCATGCCGCTGCATTTGGTCCATGGATGAGAAACGAGTTGGTCGGTGTCGCGCTTGTGAGCGGAGGCGGAGCGGTGTATGTGCACAGACGCTGCGACGCGGCGAGTAATAAACCAGCTTCAACGGCTTCGCGATGCTTCTTCTGGGACCTAGGTGGTGTGCACGTGTGCACCCCTCTAACCCCGTCAGCTGCTCCTCTTGCGACGCGTGTCTCCATCTCTCACCGACCGTACCTCTTGATCTTAGCGTAAACGAGGTGAATTTCAAGATAAACAATAAAGATATTGTTCAAGTAATGAGATTCCTGTAGCATGATTTAGGCCCTCGTGGTAAAATAAGTAGCACTTATCTAACCTGAGATGACCTCTTATCGTATCGTATCCTTGATTGCTTTACGTTTTTTCCCCACAAATTTAGCCAGTTTGTTGCAAGAAAAACTAGTTCTCGACAGAATTTGTTTGGCTATTGATATTAATAGAGAGAAAGTTCAACACTTGGAAAATGGTACGGCCAAATGTTGGTTGAGCCTTTCAAGCATGCCGGCCACGTGTTGTTCATGTCAGAACATTTATGTTGTGAAATGTTGGTTGGGTTTGAATTGAGAAAGAAAAGCAAGTTAAATATTTTTCTGCGATCATACAGTACAACCTAGACACTCATAGCACACGCAAACCCTATCCCTATGAGCATCTTCGAAGACTAGGCCGGTGTCACGGGTTGGTTGCCGCGGCAAGCATTGTTGTTCATACTGAGTGTGGGTCTCCGGTGGCTCGGGTGGACTCAATAACACAAGAGAAAACACGACGATGTATCTTGGTTCAGGCTATTGGAGCCCTACGTCTGGTTGTTTTTTTTGTATTCGAGAGCACCCAAATTGAGGGGTTATAATGAAAGAGAAAAGGTTTGGCAGGGGATCGCTGGTGCTATCCTAGGCTCGTCGGCGGTGGGGTTGGTATCCCCAGCGAGGGATTGTCAAGGGGAGGAATGCTCGGTCGTTCCTCTCTGCTTGCTCTGCCTCTGGGCCGAGCTCGGAATGAGTTCATCTGTTCTGTGTTGCCTCTCCCTCTCTGGACTCGTCCTCCCCCCTCTATATAGGATCCGACCCCCCTTATAGACCGGGGAAGATCGGGTACAGGGCGGTTCGGGGTTTTGAGTCTATGGTCTACATGTGCTGGAGTCCAGGAGGGTGCTGCTACAACATCGATGGACTCTGGTGTTGTCGTCGAGTTGGGGGAGCTTTGGGCGTCGCCTGGCTCTTCGGGTCCAGACGCTATGATCATCAGGGGTTGTCGGCTTGGACCGACCTCCATCGGGTGAGACTTCTTGAGGCTTCTTTGGAGGTGAAGGCGCCTGGCTTGGGGCACTGACGAGTGGGCCCAGGAACCGCTACGCCCTTGGAGCGAGCACTGGGAGTTGTCTTTGTTGGTATTTCTTAATGTTTACAGAAAGAATCCGCAAGCGCACAAAATTACCATTGTAGCTTTCACCCGGAAGTATTCAGGATATCGTATTTTCCACAGGGAACGGAGATACTTCTTCTAGCTAGTTCTCCAAGGACAACACAATGATAAAGTTGAAAAGGGCAGAGATAGATTCCTATGGCTTTTGGGTCTAAGGATAGGTAAACTCTAATTTCACTTGCTTAATTCGGGCACCGGATCACACCTGGTCTGCCAGGTGATGCTGGCCTCTGTTGACAGTCACTAACATCTGTTTTGACCATCAACATTCCACCCAAAAGCATGATAAAGTGAGGTAAATCATCATCATGTGTGAAGAATTTTATTTATAATTCACCAAGTTCCACTTGTGCTTGTAGAATTATTTGTATGCAGGAAAATATAGCAAAAATATGCAAAAAGGTGATAAATATGGACGCATGGAGCAAGTGGACGTGACAGGAGGCCTTGGGCCCACTTGGTAGCGCCGTCCAGCACCACAAGGGCACCGCCCAGCCCCAAGTGGCCCTGCCATGTCACCGATCTATGGAGCCGCTCTAGAGCCAATGACAAGCATCCATTCAAGTCGGTTTGATCAACGGACAAGATTTGATGCTCGTGGATTCATGGGCCCATTGTCATAGACTTGGGAAGCTCCACCGAGTTACCAACTGCCATACCAATTGAATTTCAACATGTGCTATCCAAGTAACCAACTTTGGGAGCCAACCAGCATCGTAGGATGCAAAGGTGGTGCATCCTAGGGTCGGCCGGCACCCCTATGCCGCTGCCCGACGCCCCCCTATGGCCACCAACCTCCTAGCTGCCTACAAGTACCCCCATGCCTCTCTATACTATAAATAGAGGGTGTGGAGCTCGGTGGAAGGATGCCCCATTCATTTTCAAGCTCTCCAAGCTTCTATTAGCTTTCTAGCTTAGCATTAGCTATAGAGTAGTAGTCTAGTAGTGGAGTAGAGCAAGAGCAGAGCTTCTCTTGGAGTCTGGAAGAGTTTTTTGGGTCTGGTATAGCTTCTTTGTAATTCTTTCATTTAACATTTACTTTATTCAATATTTATTTCAAGTACTTTATTCTAGTATTATTGCTTTGCTTTACTTAAGTTCTAGTTCATTAGTGCTCATCATTAGTGAGTTTAGGTGCTTACTGTTTGGCATTAGTAGCATAGGTTATCTTATAATTAGTAGTCTTTCGTTAGTACCGGTTCCACCATCTAGTTTATAGATTAAGCGTGGTGCTTAGGCTATAGATTACTTATGGATACGGCTAGGCCTCCAGATAGATTGTGGTAGGTGGCAAGTGGTGACAGCCTTGTCCATCCTCTGTATTCCACCACGATAGGTGTAGTTATTAAATCATATGGCTCATGACAGACCTTATCTATTTAACTCTCCTAATTGGTAGGTGGGCTATGCCCCAAAGTACTATCACATTTCTCCTAGTTATTTGTTTACCCTTAGTTACTACAAAGATAAATTGTTCGCTCTCCCACCTAGCTATCTCTAGTGTAGCTTGTATTTAGTAGTTTGGTTTAGATAGTTCACATTCAACTTCCACTATCGTTCACCTACCTAGGTTACACTTAGGTTTCCCTTAGCAATCTACCAGCAAATATAAATTCTAGCCTTCCACCTTCCTGTGGAAAAAATATAAATTCGACACTTGGTACTCACCGAGCGAAGTGCTTCGCGATAGTTCTGTGCACTTGCGGGATTCCTCCAATAGTTGTTAAGAAGTATCAACAACCTCTAGCTCTATGCCGTACCCAGATGTGGAGGATTATAAGGGATGGACAGGGCTGTCACCACACGCTGCCTACCCCTCAACCGTGGAGTACGAGGCAAATGAAGGTAGCATCTGGCCTACACACCACGTCTACACTATCGACTACTACTCTAGCATCGCGTAGGGTTATCCATCTTTATCACGGCGCTTTACTAGAGTATCCGTTACAAGAACAGACGACGAACCCGCAAACAAGTAAGAGCAAAGATTAACTAATCAAAAGACTTGTAACCATAAGAACCACGAACACTCACTTAGCGGAAAGCTCCGTTGAGGCTCAAGTGTTTGTTGAGGTACAAGTTCGAGGAGACACCGACAAGCCCGGTGCTTCCCCATGCTCTCCCTCACATCTCTCCCTAGTAACTCTACTAGCTAGCTAGGGCCTAAGCCCTTTGGAATGATGCTCTAACTCTTTGCTCTTGATCCTTGGTGTGTTGTTATTTTGGTGGACAAGCCCGACAAGCCCAGCCACACCGTAGCCAGCCTGCCTCGCCACCGCCTTTGGCAGGTGGGCTGGTGGCTGGTCCTGGGCTGCTCCTCCGTTGGTGGTTGGCCCAAGTTCTTTGGTGAAGTGAGCCTTTTATCTTTTTACTTGGACCGAATCTGCTTTACGCTTTGTCCAAAGGTGTATTTTGACTATAATTCCCTTGTATCCAATTATAAGGCCTGCAAAATAGTACTTCTCCAATATAAGTGGAACTATATCAATAGTAAAGGTATATGTGTGTAAAAACATGTAATTTCCTTCTTTTTGGATCGTAGTTGGCGGTTGGATTTTGTTGATAAGGACCGCCAATAAACTCCCCCACACTTAACCCTTTGTTCGTCCTTGAGTAAAGTTTTAAGGTCTAAGATGGGTCATCTCCTTGATATGTCATATGCACACAAGTTACTCTAAGCTTCACCTGCACTTGTGAACTTTGGAGTGTCTACCATATTATCTTGAGTGATTGAATAATGGAACAACATGGATTCAAATCTCCTTGCATCAATTAGTTCAGAAACTTGGGTTTTTCAGTTGATTTTGAAATGTAAACATAGCTTAGGTCCTCGAATGATTCGCTTAGATCGCTCATATTTATGTTTGGTTCCTCACCAAGGCATATCATAGTGTTGACTTCTTTCTTTCCTAATTCTAGAAAGCTTATATGGATCTTTGGGTAGGAAAAGATATGAAGGCATTCTTACTCTGCATATTTTGTTAAGTCAAAACTCAGATCTGAGGAGAAAGATGTCATACCCTTAGATCAAGAAGTGCAAGTGTGTGGATAAAATAATGTTAAACCTACACTATACTCCTTGATATGAGTGATCTCTCTCGTAAACTTATATTATGAGAACATGACTATCATTTTGCATGAGCCTTCATGTGTTCATCATTTTTTTCATATATATAATTGGACCTTCATGTGTCCATTTTTTTCTTTTTCTTCTTGGACCTTCATGTGTCCATATATTTTTTCTTTTTCATACTTTTGCATAGCCCCTATCTCTTAAACCACATATTGAGAGAGATCACTATTTTGTAGAACACGAAGTATTTATTTTAAGACATTTTTTTGTCTACTCCTAGTGTAGGAGTAGAATATTTTTTGTGTGGACGGTGGCATGTTTTAGCATATTCCCAGTGGAGGAATAGCTTATATATATGGCATGTACGTGATCTTGATCTTGGGGGCATGATAACTTTCTCAACAAGGGTCAACAAGTCTTGACAAAACTCAATGCGGAAATAAGTAGCAAATATTTGGAGGTTTTAAGCTCTAATCGCTAGATATGGCTTT